ATTGGTATAATGATGCATGAGGAAGAATTGGTTAGACATATAAAAGAGAAAGTCCAATGCATATTAAAAGGCTTTATAATGTTTTGTTAGAAAGGGATTCAGAGACTGAATTGGTTAAAGACTGTATGATTAAGTGGGCACAAAATTTTGCAGAACCAGTGATGTTGGAAACATGGGAAAAAATATGGGTTCAGAATGTTAAATTTACACAGTCGCAGAATCTGAGGGAAAATTTTTATAAAACGTTTTATAGATGGCATTTAGATCCTAAGAAATTGTCGTGCATGTACCCTAATGTTCAACCAAAATGTTGGAGATGTGATTGCTTAGATGCCACATATTATCATGTGTGGTGGACTTGTAAGAAAGTGAAGGCTTTTTGGATAAAAATTTGGTGGGTTATGCAGAATGTTTTGAAGAAAAAAAATTCAGTTTTCTCCACAATTGTTTCTATTGGGTATAGTTAAGGGTTTTACATTGGGTGAAACAAAGTTGATATTGTATATGATAACAGCAGCGAGATTACTGATAGGTCAATACTGGAAAAATGAAGCTATGCCCACTATTGAGGAATGGACTTTGAAGATGGCCAGCTTTGCAGAGATGGCGAAGATCTCAGCATATCTAAAAGATCGCTCACAAGAGACTTATGAATGGGAGTGGAAAAAGTGGATAGATTATGTGCAGAACAAATATCAAACTAGGAAGTATCAAATAGCTTTTAACTGAAAGTATTATATAAAGATAGAAATATTTGAATTTTGTGAAGATGAAAAAATATATTGGGGGTGGAGGGGTTCAAGTTTTATAAAACGGGGATTTTGATTTGGATTATATTCTGTGGAAGTCCGGGGGGGAAGGGTGGGTTAGGGAGGGTTGGGGGGGTTGGGGAGGGTTAGGGAGGTTAGGGAGGTTAGGGAGGGATGGCGGGGGGGGGGGAAATGGGGAGAAAATGTAATTGTAAAACTTTTCCAATTTAAAAACAAAAACAAAAACAAAAACCAGAATCTATGAATACCAGCTGGCTGTCAAATGGCATGACCTTGATCATCAGAAATACTGACAACAAATGGAATGGAACAAAGGCAAAGTCATTGGCCACACCAAAAACCCATCAGGCACTTTACCAAAGCAACGGATCCATTAACAAACACATTGATTTACTACCAGCATACAAACCTATAAGGAAGCAGACCATCCTAACCACTGATCGATGACAGAACTGACCACCACCTCACCAGTTGAATTTCACGCCTCAGAGCAACCAGTCAGAAGTCACAAGACCAGAATCAGCCTTGTGATTCAATCAGTCTTGTGATTCAACAAAACCATCACTCAGGACCTATATAAATGATTAGGACACTTCACCCCAAAACCCCACTGAAGATGTTATCTAGTTTGGTAGATAACTTATATGTTGATTGATTATATGCCATCAAGTTGGTGCAACTCTTAGTGACTACATAGCTTTTAATGCATGACTGATTATTTTAATTGTATAATTGTATAATGAATTACTATGAATAATTACAATAATTAATACAATAAGGAGAATAATTGAAAAGGTTTGCAAATGGACACCTAATATGCAATGTTTAAAAGAACCTATCCTGCTTAATTTGGAAAAGAAAGTTACTGGTTCATTTAATTTTAACCTGTTTTTCTTCCAGTTTCCTCACTGTACAGACTCATGTGCCCACATTTTGAGGCAGGCTATGATTCTTATTTAAACCTACCATCTGCAGGTGAGGCATCAGAGGTGGCTCGGGAGTTCATGGCTTCCATGGTGGCCATGGACCTGACCCAGTTAGTTAATGGCCCCACTCACATAGGGGGACACACTCTGGACTTGATTTTCATCTCTGGTCAGTGGTTGAATGATCTTGGTAGAGGGGACTTAGACATTAAACCCTTGTCATGGACAGATCATTCACTCCTTCACTTGGACTTTCCAGCCACTTCCCCCCACCGCAGGGAGATGGAACTGACTAGATGGTTCCGTCCCAGGCGCCTGATGGATCCCGAAAGGTTCCTGATGGAGCTTGGGCTGTTTCCTGAGACTCTGGCACACGACTCGACTGAGGACCTGGTGGCCGCCTGGGAGAGTGCGACCGCCGGAGCTTTGGACCGCGTCGTGCCTTTATGGCCTCTGACCCGATGCCGATCTCAATTGGCTCCATGGTTCTCCGAGGGACTGAGAGAGATGAAGCGTCGGAAAAGACACCTAGAGAGCATCTGGAGGACTAGTCAATCCGATTCTGACCAGACACTGGTGAGGTCTTATATCAAGACCTACATAGTGGCGATAAAAGTGGCGAAATCTAACCATTTTTCCTCTCTTATCGCATCTGCAGAGAACTGCCCAGCCGCCCAGTGACCCACTCCCTTCTTCGGGGGGGAGTGTGGGAAGATCCCTTGCAGGGTCGAGCTGAGGATTTTGTGCAATTCCTGCATGATAAAGTCGCTCGGATTCGGGAAGGCTTGGACTCAGACTGGATGAGTCCAGGGAAGGAGACGAGGGTAGGTCTTGAGAATATTATATGGGAGGAGTTTGATCCTGTGGCTCCCGAGGATGTGGACAGGGTTCTGCATAAGATTAGTGCCACCACATGTTTACTGGACCCGTGTCCCTCCTGGTTGGTACTGGCCTCCTGGGAGGTTACACGAGGCTGGCTCCAGGGGATTATAAGTGCTTCTCTGAGTGAGGGTGCCTTTCCTGCCACCTTGAAAGAGGCGGTGGTGAGACCCCTCCTCAAGAAGCCTTCCCTGGACCCGGCGGAATTAGCTAATTACCGTCCGGTCTCCAACCTTCGTTTTGTGGTGAAGGTTGTTGAGAGTGTGGTGCCACGACAGCTTCCCCGGCACCTGGATGAAGCTATCTATCTAGACCCGTACCAGTTGGGCTTCAGGCAGGGGTACAGCACAGAAACGGCATTGGTCGCGTTGGTGGATGATCTCTGGAGGGCTCGGGACAGGGGTTGCTCCTCTGTCCTGGTCCTATTAGATCTCTCAGCAGCTTTTGATACCATCGACCATGGTATCATGCTGCAGCGGTTGAGGGGGTTAGGAATAGGGGGCACCATCCTGCGGTGGTTCTCCTCCTTCCTCTCCGACTGTTTGCAGTTTGTGTTGGCAGGGGGGCAGAGGTCGACCTCGAGGCACCTCACATGGGGAGTGCCGCAAGGATCGGTCCTCTTGCCCCTTCTGTTCAACATTTATGTGAAGCCGCTGGGTGAGATCATCCGTGGTTTTGGGGTGAGAGTTCATCAGTACGCTGATGATACTCAGCCATACATCTCCACCCCAGACCACCCCAACGATGCCCTTGATGTGATATCTCGCTGCCTGGAGGCCGTGCGGGTCTGGATGGGGAGAAATAGGCTCAGATTCAACTCTTCCAAGACCGAGTGGCTGTGGCTTCCGGCGTCCCAATATAGTCAGCTGGTGCCATCGCTGACTATTGGGGGTAAGTCTTTGCCCCCCACAGAGAGGGCTCGCAATCTGGGTGTCCTACTGGACACACGGCTGTCTTTAGAAGAGCATATGACAGCCGTGGCCAGGGGGGCTTTTTATCAGGTTCGCCTGATTCGCCAGTTGCAGCCCTTTCTGGACCGGGACACCTTGCGCACAGTCACTCATGCCCTTGTCACCTCCTGGCTGGACTACTGTAATGCTCTCTACATGGGGCTCCCCTTGAAGAGCACTCGGAGGCTCCAACTGGTCCAGAATATGGCCGCGTGGGTGGTTATGGGCGCAACTCATTGAGCCCACGTGAGACTCCTCCTGCATGAGCTGCACTGGCTCCCAGTGGTCTTCTGGGTGCGATTCAAGGTGTTGGTCACCACCTTTAAAGCGCTCCATGGCATAGGGCCCCAGTACCTTCAAGACCTACTTCTGCCACCAATAGCCTCCCACCCGCCAGTCCGCTCCCACAGAGAGGGTCTCCTCAGGGTGCCATCGGCCAAGTTAGGAGGGCCTTCTCTGTGGGAGCCCCTGCCCTGTGGAATGAATTACCCCCGGAAATGCGTAAGATCTCCGACCTCCGTGTATTTTGCTGTGCCCTCAAGACCCTGTTGTTCGGTCAGGCCAGGCTATCAATGTAATGATTTTAAATTCGGTGTTTTAAATTTTGGGGTTTTAAATCTGAGCCGAAATTATTTAATAATTTTAATTATTTTTAATTGATGTCTGTCTTTGTGCTTTTAATAGGCTGTACACCTCCCTGAATCCTTCGGGAGAAGGGCGGTATAGAAATAAATTTATTTATTTATTTATTTATTTATTTATTTATTTATTTATTTATTTATAACCCCAAATCCAGTCCTGGCACTCATCAGTCCATCACATGGTCCAATCACCATCCATCCCATCTTGAGACACCACTTCAACCACTCCTTCTCCAGGTGCAGGATTGTCCTGACCGTGACCAAAAAGAAGAATGCTATTTTGTTTAACTACATTCCCTCTACTAAATCCCCCCTCCTAATTTTCCAAGCATAGGAGGGTGGCAGCGTGGAAGCTTCCAGTGTTAATATGGCTTCCAAAGCTAACACCAGCAAAATTTGGTTATTTAGTAAATTATTGTTAAGTAAATTAATTATGTGGCACTATATCTGAATCCAATCAGTGTATTTATTAATTTAAGAAAGTAGACTATTTCTTTCTGATAAATGTATAGTAAGAATTGTAAATATAAGGTTTATGTAGTAATCTGTTTACGCAAGTGTGAAATTACTTATGAATATTCTGCTTTGTGTTTATGCAAAATTTTAGAATTTTGCTTTTATACAAATTCCTGGAGAAAATAGAGATCAGAATGTGCTCATCCAATGGTTAGGTTTCATACAATAATATGCCAAGTATTTTAAAAGTATATTTTTAAAATATCTGTCAGGCTAAATAATTTTTTTTCATTAATTGGAAAAGTTAATTATTGTTCAATTAAATGTAAGAGTAAAAGGAACTTTCTTGTTTTCATTTTTTGTTTTTTTTCCCCTTAGGATTATCGAGTGAACATTTTTCTCCGGCAGAACTGGAATGATCCACGCCTTGCTTATAGTGAATATCCAGATGACTCTTTAGATTTAGATCCATCCATGCTGGATTCAATCTGGAAACCTGATTTATTTTTTGCCAATGAAAAGGGTGCCAACTTTCATGAAGTAACAACTGACAATAAATTGCTTCGAATTTTTAAAAATGGAAATGTTCTTTATTCTATCAGGTAAATTGTTGAGTACAAAAGTATGAGGTTATAGCACAATTTCAAAGTAATCTAAGTTCCATTTAAACATAATGATTGTTGCTTTTATAGATTGTATATTTTTCACATTGATGTATATAAGTATATAAATTGATCTTCAAGATAAAAAAAATAACGTGCAATTATTGAAAATTGATTCAAATGTCATAAGTTATACAGAAACAATAACTGATTCCCCCAAATGTTGGAAATTTTAATTTTGAAAGCAAAAAGGCAGAACTTTGCTAAGGCTAAAATATATTAATTCTTAGTGTAAAATTAAGTCAGACATACGATATTTTGTGATAACGAAAGTCATAACTTCTTCTTCTTGTAGAATGGATCAGTTTTCTTTCACTGGCTAATCATGCTGTAAACAAGAAGCACACACGTGTACCTCAGCAACCATCACCATTTCATTTATATTCCCAGAATCCCTATACAAAGTACAGCCACAATATTCAGACATTTTTAGGGAAGAGAGTAAAAAGGGGGAAAATAAGTTACTATAAATAATCATTACTAGAAGCCTTAGTAGGATTTTTAACCTCAAATTTCCCCCAGTGCTTAAAGAGTTCCTTCTTTCAGTTTGCTACAAAGCCAATTTTCATGCTTCTGCTCTAAGCCATCTATATTTGTTGCTATCAAAAGCCTGTGATAGAACTGCATCCAATATTTAAAAATTCTGCCTTTTCCTTAAATGTTCCATAACTTCATTGCATATATGAGGTTTAAAGTATAGTTTATTAGCATACAAGACATTGCAGAATACACATGTTGTAGATTGCACTGATTCTGAATAACGGTTTAATACTCCTTTGCCTGTTCAAAGATATTTACTTTTTTCAAAATGTATCTGGATTAGACTTTCTAATCATTTGTTCTTTATACTATATACTGTATCAGTGATGGTTAACCTTTTTGATGCCGAGTGTCCAAAGTGCATGCGCGAATGCACGTGCGCGTGCCAGAACCCCCAAAATGCAATGTGAGCATCCCCGTGCATACGCCCTGCCCCCACACATGTGTGCATGCCTCCATGCTTGCTCCCCACCGTGCATGCGCCCTGCCCCACAGCCCCCTGTTTTGGCTTCCAGGTTGGTGCAGGAGGCCTTCCAGGCCCAAAATGGGGTACAGGGGGCCACACAAGGCAATCCCCCCAAGTGCCCCACCCCCCTGTGCATGCGCAGCAGAGACCCAAAGACCAGCTGGCCATCGGGAGGCACATGCACATGCACGGTACAGCTGGGCTAGGGCAATGGCTGGCATGCCTGCAGAGAGGGCTCTGTGTGCCATCTGTGGCACACGTGCCATAGGTTCACCATTACAGCTATATATCATCTATTGATTCTCTGTCAAAATTCTTCCATTGATTCTTCTAGATTTTTAAGTCTACATTGAACACAGGATAACAAAGATACTTCTATTTGAAATGAAGATTAATATTATTTGAAGCAAAAATGATTCATATGGCTTTTATTTGAAAGCCTGAATATGTTGTTTTAATAATAATTTCACAAATCACTACGGAAGATACATAGAATTAGATTATAATGTACCATACTGCATGAAGAGAATTCTGTAAAAATACAAAATTTGGAGATGTTTATTCATAAATAGATTTCTCTGATTTTATGAGGCTTGTTTCAGAGGTGGTATTCAGCCAGTTCAGACCAGTTCCAGAGAACTGGTAGCAGCCCCAGCGTAATGCCGTCCCATTTAGCCACGTTTTTTAGGCCGGGCACATGTGCGGAAGGCACATGCACGGGGCGAACCAGTGGTAAGACTATTGGAAAACCCACTGCTGGTTTGTTTCCAAGAAAGGTTGATAAAATTGCAATTTTAAAATCAGTTCTAAGCATTTGGAGTCTAATACAAAGACAACTTTATAATATTTAGTCATTTAAATGAATTGTAGTTTATTATTTTGTATTAATTATACATGTGCTAGATTTGCCAACTTTCCTCCTTATTGTAGATGGATGTAAGGAAATATATGTAAAGAAAATAATCTTTTTGCTTCATTTGCTGTACCTTCTTTCAGGCTGACTTTAATACTTTCCTGTCCAATGGATCTCAAAAATTTCCCAATGGATGTCCAGACCTGTATAATGCAACTGGAAAGTTGTAAGTATAAATTAATATATTCATAGAAAAAAGCCATGAGATACATTATCTACTATTATTTGTGATAATATGAACTTTCATGTGCAGGAAACTTCTTTTTCCATGTTCAAATTATGCTCCTACACCTCCCAGGATTCCAAGCCAGTGAAGTAAGAAATTTGGTAAATTGAAGTCCCAATACATTAAGTGGTCACTCAATTGAGTAATAATATTTGGAAAAAACAAACATTAAAGATCACATAATCTTGGCAGAGAAGACTGTTTCCTAATAGAAAATGTCACCATTAGTCATGGGGAACTCATTAGTTAGGGGAAATTATTCATAAACCCCAATGAGACAAGCTTCTGCTATACCAGCAATTTTCAGTTTGAGGGAAAGATGTAAGTTTATTGGGAAATCTGTATTTTCAGCCAAAAATTAGCATCAAAATCCATGCTCATACCAGAATTTTAAGCATTCCTGTTTCCAAACTAACCTTGGTTAATGGCTAGGGCAACAAATAGGGCTTCAGTTCTCCAGAATTTGTTTGCACTGCAACCTACTTAGAATTTGGGCCAAAAAGTTTGTCTCAAAAAGTTTTCATGCAGCTGATATTTGTTCTTTAATAAAGAAGAATCATTCAATAGTAGTTCTGGAAGCTAGCTGTGCTACATAATCATGATGTGGGTCAAGGTCATTCTGGAGTAGAAAATCAGCCAAAACATTTCCAGGTCAATACTATTTCACTTTTTGATGAAAAACCATAAACCCAAACCCTATTTCAGCTTTGATGAAAAAGAGTCCAGACCAGTGGTGGGTTTCAAAAATTTTTACTACCGGTTCTGTGGGTGTGGCTTGGTGGGTGTGGCATGGCTTGGTAAGTGTGGCTTGGTGGGTGTGGCAGGGGAAGTATACTATAAAATCTCCATTCCCTCCCAATCAGCTGGGACTTGGGAGGCAGAGAATAAATGGGGGCAGGGCCAGTCAGAATTTTTACTACCGGTTCTCCGAACTACTCAAAATTTCCGCTACCAGTTCTCCAGAACTGGTCAGAACCTGCTGAAACCCACCTCTGGTCCAGAACCTGCATTTCTGGAAGAATGATAGGAAGAAAAAAATGGTGCCAGAGTAAGGATTCAGGGGAATTACATCTAACTCATAGAAAAGTAACATACTTTATCATTTATTATATAATAAATTCATTATATATACATCAGTACAAAACCCAACTTTTATTTCACATATTCTTTCAAAGGAATAGGGAAATTTATTCTCTCTATATATCTGAGGAAAACATGTAGTTCATCAGTGATCTTCATACAAAATATGAAGATAAGAGGGATCCAAATGGCAGCTGTGGTCATTCAGTTCTTTCTGACTCAGTGGAATAACCTCTAAAGCAGGGCTGTCAAACTCCAGGCCTGTGGGCCAGATGCGTCACGTGCTGGCCATGCCCATGCCTGGTTTAGCAAAGGAGAAAAAAGTCCCGCTACATCACATGACGCTGCTGTGACAATGTGAATTTGACACCCCTGCTCTAGGATTGTCTGACAGTAACTGTTTTCCTGAGCATTTGTAAGCTTATATTTGTGAGAGATTGTGGTCACTTTGTCTTCTGTCAGCCTTTCTTTCAATAGCTTTTTATTTTCCAAACAACAGGGTCTTTTCACTATCTTTTGACTTAACATTATATGTACAAAATAGTTACCTTTAGTTTTGTTATTAACGCTTTTCCTGAGTTGTCTTGTTTTCTTTTATTTAGTACTGGGGTTTTTGTTTTTCTACCTGTTCAAGGTATTCTCAACTATTTTGTCACATCACAGTTCAAACACATCATTTTTTGTTTAGATTTTCTGATCCAGTTTTCACAACTACGGTATGTAACTAATAAAATCATAGCATACTGCTGTCAGTATGTTTTCCTTGCATTTTAATATTTTGTTTAGATCTATCATAGTATTTTTCCCATGTAGCAGATGACTCTGTTTCATGACTACATTTACCCTGTAATTTTTAAGCCTATCAAGAGAAAGCTTAGGAAGATTCTTTAACTTTATCTTCTAACATAGGTTGGAAGTTCTTGTTGACAAAATCTTAGCTATTTTTTATTATTGGCAGCAGAGCAGCTTCTGTATTTGCTTTTATCTTTGACAAGAAATTCTTTGAGTCTTCCTCACTCCCTATCATTTTGGTACCATTAACATTTCTGAGGTTTTCTTGAATTAAATAAATAAGGTTTTTATATCCATATTGATACAATCCTTTCCAATTTTGAAGATATTTGTTGTCCCATAGCCCATTTTAATAGTTGACTCTTAACATTATATAAATTCTTTAATAGATAAATGGTAAGTTTTGCTCACATTTTAAGAGGATTTTACAATGAGGAATATACAATGTATTCTAAACTCTTTGTATAGGAAATAAAGAAAAAAATAAGGATCTTTTTGAAGTTCCTTCAATTTACCATTATCTATTAGAAGTTAGCAATTTGATATTGAAAGCCCATTTTCACTCCGGTTTGAATACCTAACTGTTTTGGTTCCAGTTATTCTCAAGATCTGAATTGCAAAATCTTTAGCTTTATCTTACCACCACATGTGATAAGTGAAAACATTTGGTAGTTTTGTCTTTTCTTAGTACTACTTTTATTTTTGTCTTCAAATAGCAATAGCATTTAGCAATAACACTTAGACATATATTCATTACATTATAACCACTGCCTCACTACGGCTCTTACAAATTGATCCTTTCTAGTATTTGAGGTATTGCTTCAATTTCCATACTTGCCTACAAACTGTGTGTAATACCTTAATTGCATCATGTTGTAAGATTTTAAATAATTCTACTGGTGTTTCTATTATTATCGATACATATATATTTGTTGTTAGTTGCGAAGTCATGTCCAATCCATTGCGATCCCATGGACAATATGCCTCCAGGCCTTCCTGTCCTCTACGATCCTCTACCATCCTCTGGAGTCCATTTAAGCTCATGCCTACTGCTTGAGCTCCATCCAGCCACCTTGTTCTCTGTCATCCCCTTCTTCTTTTTCCCTCAATCTTTCCCAGCATTAGGCTCTTCTCCAGTGAGTCCTTCCTTCTCATTAGATGGCCAAAGTATTTGAGTTTCATCTTCAGGATCTGGCCTTCTAAAGAGCAGCCAGGGTTGATCTCCTCTAGGACTGACCAGTTTGATCGCCTTGCAGTCCAAGGGACTCGCAAGAGTCTTCTCCAGCACCATAGTTCAAAGGCCTCAACTTTGGCGCTCAGCCTTTCTTATGGTCCAACTTTCACAACTATACATTGCAACTGGGAAAACCATAGCCTTGACTATATGCACTTTTGTTGGCAGGGTGTATGTACATACATACATACATACATACATACATACATACATACATACAGTACAAAATAGTGAACATATCTAATAATCCTGCTCCAATTTTTCCCCACCACAATTTTATAAAATGGATTGAGCTGAAAGAGGGACTGGCCCAAAGTTGGCTTTGGGAAGTCTCCTGGTTTTTAGGCCAGCATCTCAACCCCTGCACCAAATGGGTTCTCTGCAATTCCTGCAACTTTGTCTTTAGCAATATTTTATAGAAGCCATTTTACTTTCAGAACACCTGGATCTAGTTCAGTGAATTAGAGCTTCCTCTTCTGCTTTTGGGAATTTATGATCTCTGTTAGCAAAAATAAAAGAATTAGATGCAGGTCAGAATTCATAATGCATATCTCTAACATCATCAGTTATTAAGTTTAATAGAGTGTTTTTCTTGAAGTGGTATAATTGTAATTAGATTTTATATGGATTTACCACCATAATAATTTCTATACTATATAATTAGTTGGATCAGATTCTTATTAAATACAGATATCCTCAACTTACAACCACAACTGAGCTCCAAAATTTATGTTGCTAAGTGAGATATTTGTTAAGTGAATTTTGTCCATTTTATGACCTTTCTTGCCACTGTTGTTAAGTGAACCACTGTAGTTGTTAAGTTAGAGACAAGTAGTTACCTGAATCTTTGCTTGTCAGAAGGCTGCAAAAGGCGATCACATGACCCTGGAACATCATAAATATGAACCAGTTGCCAAGTGTCTGAATTCTGATCATGTGATGGGGCTATAAGTGTGGAAAATGGTGCTGTTGTAACTTTGAATAGTCACTAAAAGAACTGTTGTAAGTTGAGGACTATCTGCATATGATAAAATTATTGGTATATTACTTCAATCAAGGCAAAAGCTTGTCTTAATTTATGAATTAAAATTAATAAAGCAATGACATGACTGGTTCAGAAGTTGCATTTTCTCATATAATACTTCAGAAGTTCATACACTTTAAATTTCACACACATAATTTAATATGAGCCACATGTAAATGATACAGAGATTTTTATTTGACAACGGTATTGTTTTTTATATTTGATCCTGCATGGTTGAATTGGAGAAAATGTTGGCATTAAATGTGTGTTAATTTCCATTCAACATTTTTTTTACTTCCTTTCCTAGTTGGTTATACAATGAATGATCTTGTATTTGAATGGCAAGAAAATGGTGCTGTACAAGTAGCTGAAGGACTTACTTTGCCACAGTTTTTGTTGAAAGAAGATAAAGATCTTTGTTACTGCACAAAACACTACAATACAGGTAAGAAAACTACTCAGTGTTTTGACAATTGAAAGAACATTGTAACTGTTTGTTCTCCAAGCATATATTCAATGTGTAGTTAATCACAGAGTAGTAATGATTCTTGGGCCAAGGAATATTTATATCAAGGAGAAGAGTTTCATAACACACATCTTAACTTCAACATGGAGTGGCAATTGAATAGGTAATAACATCAGCCACAAAATATTAGGGAACAGAAAATCTAGTACAGTGAAAGAAATAAAGTCAAAGTTTTTTTTTTTTCTAGGAAAATTGTAGAATTTAGAGAATTTGCATGAGTGTAGACAAAATTAGGTAAAAACATTGTACATGAGAGTCCTATTTTATAGTATTTTGAAGGGTTTTGTCCTCAGTTTAAAATATATGATTAGTTTTATTAGACTAATTTTATTTTAATTTGCTACCTCCAATTTCAGGACTATAAAGGAGAACATAAATATTGATATTGATATTAAAAAACTAGAGATTGCTGATTCAGGGGAAAAAAACTTCCTATGTCATTATGATAAAATAAAGATTCTGCTGCTGCTCCCCTATGTTTTTTGGCTTTACAAATGTTTTACATCTGGAATGCTGCTGGATATTTATCAAAGCAGGAAATCAAGCATCGTTATGACCACTGGGAACAGCTGTGCTTCTGCCACTGTTGACTAAAGAAAATGATCATAGTGTAATAAGTAGGAATAGTAACATATTGATTACCTCCGATTTTCAAAGAAACAATTATTGTTGCATTTTGCACATATTTTTGCATTCCTTTTGTTTGTTGTTAGCATCAACCCTACAAAGAAGCAAAGTAAAGTGAGTTTTAGACAGCTAATTGTTATTATTAACATTATTACTGAAGTAACTCCATCTTTAATTATCTATTTAGAAGGTTATAATAAATCTCTTAAAATGAATTCTATTTGCTTTAAAGTTATTTAAATGGATATTTTCTGTAGATTATTCTATACAACTCTCTGTAACATTTAACTGAACAAAACTGTACATTGTGGGACTTCTTTTGAACCAAAGTACGACAAATCAGTTATCTTACAGAATGTGTCCAAAATTCAGTACCTATGATTCCTGTGGAATTGAAATTCAGCAGATTTTATAAAACATTTTATGACATTTAAATTATCATAAAACAGTTTCTGATACAATACAAAATGTTCAAAATGGGTTATTTTCAGAGAAGATACTGTCAATTTTTTCAAGGAAATTCTGTCATTGTTGAAGAAATTGAGGAATCTGATAAGGAAATATCTGTGAAAAGATGACCCAATGGGCCACAGGTTCCCTAAAGTAAAATTAAATCTGGATTCATCCTGGAAATCCTCACAGGATTTTCTGCCTCATAACCTTGGGCACTGGGGAGAATTCAGCTGTACCCAAGTTGCTTACAAAGAGTTTGACTATTATAAGCATGCAATTTGTTTGTACTATTCCACGCAAGATTGGTTTAATCACATTGACTGGAATTCACAAGCAGATCATTAAATGCTCTTATTTCCAGGAACTTGAATGAGAACTATGGGAGTTGTAAAATACAGATACAATAAATAAAAGAACAAGTATATGAACAATTAGTGAGGCATGTTGTAATACATTACAAACAAAAAGTATTTGACATTATTTTGTCATTGAATCAAGGGCAGCTGATAATGGAATAAAACTGGTTCCTCTAACAGTTGTTCTCTGTTATAACCAGGAAAGTTTACCTGCATTGAAGTTCGATTCCATCTTGAAAGGCAGATGGGATATTATCTCATTCAAATGTATATTCCCAGTCTCCTGATTGTCATACTATCATGGGTGTCGTTTTGGATCAACATGGATGCCGCTCCAGCTAGAGTGGCTCTAGGTATAACAACGGTACTCACTATGACAACCCAGAGTTCAGGATCACGGGCTTCACTCCCAAAGGTGAGCCCTTCTGAAAGTTTTCATTTTGATTGATTATAGATAATTGTTTCTCATATATACGGTAACTGTTAAAACTGTTCTTATATTATAAATATTAAAGTTAATTGAATATAGAAATATAAATATGTCATTGCATCTTACAAGATATATACTGTATATTTCTAAATAAGGTAGGCTTTACAATATAGTATGGATTACTATTTTATTTTTGTAATAGGGTTCTACATTTCTTTCTGTAATCATGGCTATTATTGACAAGTAGCATTAGTCAAGCCATCACATATCCATAGCTATAAGAACAGTGAGTTATTATTTTAAAAAAGTGAAAACAAACTAAATTATTTTATTTCATTTTACAGAAAACAAATTGTGGCAGTTATGTCTATCTGATTTGTTTACCTGATAATTCTTGTAGAATGATGCAAGCCATAAAGCATCATAAACGGAATACCAAACATTCAATAATTTGAGTCAAAGTTTTCTGCCTTTCACTATGAATAAACTGTGATGGTTACTTCAGGTGATCTAGCATATTTTTGCCTAACATGGAATGTCATAAAGATAAAGTCTTAAGATACTTTTTTGACACTAAAACGCCTTTCTAATAATGTAGCTTGTAGGACATACATATTTTCCTCTTTAATCCTTTTGTTGTAGTTGACTCTTTACTATGATTTGAATAGACACATTTTCTTCCCTTGACATTTGGAGACATTACACTGTCCTATGTTTTTATACCAGCAATCTTCTACTCTGTACTATCTCTAGGTATCATATGTCAAGGCTATTGACATCTGGATGGCTGTTTGCTTGCTTTTTGTGTTCTCCGCACTTCTGGAATACGCAGCTGTAAATTTTGTGTCAAGGCAACATAAAGAACTGTTAAGATTTCACCGAAAGAGAAAGAAGAATAAGGTAAATATGACAAGCACAGGTTACAGAAATATAAGCAGCAACAAAATTCTGACAATTTTATAACAATGATAGATTGTTCTAAAGTGTCTTGTAAAACAATGACATTTTAGACATTGATCTAGAATGACATTTTGTATTTGGTTGACACAAAGCATATGTAATTCATAAATTTTGTGATGTCTTCAAAATAAGGGTTTAAAAGAATTAAAAGAATCATGTAGAGGTTTCTGCAAAGTTTAATGTCACCAAAATACTAAAAGATTGATTTATTATGGAAACAGATGATTTGAGCTATCTTAACATTATTTCCTACAATCATTCTATGGAAGAAAAATGATTAATATAGTTAGCTTTTTAAATGAAGAGAAAAAGGAACTTGTAATGCAGTTTTCTTTTTATGTGGGTGGGAGGCAAGAGGAATTTCTTCATGTCAAATAGATGTTAAAAATGTGAGGCATATTACAAGGGTCAAAACTATTTTTTACACCTCAGAATTAATTTTAAACAATGATGCAATAAACTGAAGATTTGTCTATGTGTTTTTGACAACATACAATAGAATAGCAGAAGGCAAGGTATCCAAAGAGTATCATTATACCATGGGAATTATAAATGCCATGGTTGATTTTAATGGTGAAATTCAATTTTTTTTACTGCCGGTTCTTTGGGCATGGCTTAGTGGGCCTGATATGGCTTGGTGGGTGTGGCTTGGTGGGCATGGCAGGGGAAGTATAGTGCAAAATTCCCATTCCCTTCCCACTCTGGGACCAGCTACACTGGTATCTGCCAGTTCTCCAAACTACTCAAAATTTCCACTACCAGTTCTCCGAAACCAATCAGAACTTGCTGGATTTCACCCCTGATTTTAGGGTAAGTGGGGGCAAAATATATGCAGGGAGTAATGAAGAGTGGATATAGAAGTTTTTCTATTTTAACGATTTTTTTTTCTGATTCTGTCATAAGTACCTTAATATAAGGAAGTGTATTAAATAACACTAATGTATTAAATAACTATGAGATTTCTGCATACCCCTGTGATCTTTATACAATCTTATAATGGGAATGTCAAAAGAAACAAGGATTATATCTGGATTACAGTATAAAGTGCCAAGTAAAGCAGCACCAATGACTATGTGTGGATGTTGCTTCTTTGAAATTGTAAGACATATTTCTTTTTCCCTCGGACTGAGTCTTTACATGACATGGGTACAGATTATCTATGCTGCATATTCCATTACTTCATATTTGAGGTAACACAGTTAAGCCCATTTTCCCACACACAATACTGGATTTACACTACATTAAATATTAAATCATAGCAATGAAAAGGCTCTTCAATATTTATGAATTGTTGGCTAATTTAAACAGCTGGTTTGAATGAATATCTGTAGTGTCTTAATGTTATATTTTACTGTGCTACAATTACACATCTACATTGACAGTCTTTTTAAAGAATTATATTCTGTCCAGCCCCAATAGTTCAGCTATTGCAGTGACTAAATCAGTTCCTCCAGATCCATTTCTATGTAACGTGCACAAACGTACTCAACACATTATATATTTATTTTATTTTATTTTATTTTATTTTATTTTATTTTAATTTTATTTTATTTTATTTTATTTATTTTATTTTATTTTATTTTATTTTATTTTATTTTATTTTATTATTTTATTTTATTTTATTTTATTTTATTATTTTATTTTATTTTATTTTATTTTATTTTATTATTTTATTTTATTTATTTATTTATTATTATTTATTATTACTTTATTCAATTTGTATACTGCCCTTCTCCTAGTGGACTCAGGGCGGTGCAGAGCCAGAACTAAAACACATACCAATACAAAATTTAAAATTATTAAAAGAATAACATACTTTGGCCCAAATTTAAAACAATTCGAATTAAAACCCAGTGACAGATTAAAAGCTAAAAAGCTAAAAAGCTAAAAAAAGGGGGGGGGTTTCACGCCAGCCCTGCTTGATGGAAAAGAAAAGTTTTCAGGGCACGGCGAAAGACCCAGAGATCCGATATCCTTCTTATCTCCGGGGGCAAATAGTTCCAGAGGGCAGGAGCTGCCACAGAGAAGGCCCTCCCCTTGGAGGTCGCCAGCCGACATTGCCTGGCTGACGGCACCCTGAGGAGTCCCTCTCTGTGGGAGCGTACTGGTTGGTAGGAGGCTATCGGCGGCAGAAGGCGGTCCCGCAAATACCCAGGTCCTATGCCATGGAGCGCTTTAAAGGTGGTAACTAACACCTTGAAACGCACCCGGAAGACCACTGGAAGCCAATGCAGCTCACGCAGGAGAGGTGTCACATGGAAGCGACCCCTCGCTCCCATAATCATCCGCGCGGCTGCATTCTGCACCAGTTGGAGCCTCCGGGTACTCCTCAAGGGGAGCCCCACATAGAGAGCATTGCAGTAGTCCAGGCAGGAAGTGACGACTGCCTGAGTGACTGTGCGTAAGGAGTCCCGATCCAGAAAGGGACTCAACTGGCGAATCAGGCGGACCTGATAAAAAGCCCCCCTGGCCACGGCCGTCATATGCTCTTCTAAAGACAGCCGTGCATCCAGGAGGACGCCCAAGTTGCGAGCCATTTTATTTTATTTTATTTTATTTTATTTTATTTTATTTTATTTTATTTATTTTATTTTATTTTATTTATTTTATTTTATTTTATTTTATTTTATTATTTCATTTTATTTCATTTTATTTATTTTATTAATTTTATTTATTTTATTTTATTATTTTATTATTTTATTTTATTTTATTTTATTTTATTATTTCATTTCATTTCATTTTATTTTATTTTATTGTATTGTATTGTATTTTATTATTTTATTATTTTATTTTATTTTATTGTATTTTATTATTTTATTATTTTATTATTTTATTGTATTTTATTATTTTATTATTGTATTGTATTGTATTGTATTGTATTGTATTGTATTGTATTGTATTGTATTGTATTGTATTGTATTGTATTTATATACCACCCTACTCCCGAAGGCCTCAGAGTGGTGAACAGCCAAAAAGATAAAACACACAAACTACAAAAATTAAAAGACAATATAAAAACCCTTTAGATAATTTGGCCCAAAACAAATTAAAACACGCCTAATATTTTAAAACAAATTTACAATTTACAATTTAAAAGGGAAGTTAGGCCAGGCCAGCCTGCTGAAATAAAAAGGTTTTGAGGGCATGGCAGAAGGTGCGTAAATCCAGGATCGTCCGTATCCCTGGGGGAGCTCATTCCAGATAGCAGGTGCCCCCACAGAGAAGGCTCTCTCCCTGGGGGCCGCCAGTCGACACTATTTGGCCGATGGCACCCTGAGGAGCCCCTCTCTATTTGAGCTTACTGGCCGGTGAGAGGCTACTGGTGGTAGAAGGCGGTTCCGTAAGTAACCAGGACCTAAGCCATGGAGCGCTCTAAAGGTGGTAACCAAAACCTTGAAGCTAACTATCGTCTGGTCTCCAACCTTCACTTTGTTGCGAAGGTTGTTGAGAGTGTGGTTGCCCGACAGCTCCCCCAGTACCTGGATGAAACGACGTATCTGGATCCGTTCCAGTCGGGCTTCAGGCCTGGGTACAGCACGGAAACAGCATTGGTCGCGTTGGTTGATGATCTCTGGAGGGCTCGGGACAGGGGCTGCTCCTCTGTCCTCTCAGCGGCTTTTGATACCATCGACCATGGTATCATGCTGCACCGGTTGGAAGAGTTAGGGGTGGGGGGCACTGTATTATGGTGGTTCTCCTCCTTTCTCTCCGACCGGTTGCAGTCTGTGTTGGCAGGGGGGGCAGAGGTCGACCCCGAGGCCCCTCATATGTGGGGTGCCACAAGGGTCAGTCCTCTCGCCCCTTTTGTTCAACATTTATGTAAAGCTGCTGGGCGAGATCATCCATGGTTTCGGGGTGAAGTACCATCAGTATGCTGATGACACCCAGCCATACATCTCCATCCCGGACCACCCCAACAATGCCCTTGAAGTGATGTCCCGGTGTCTGGAGGCTGTGCAGATCTGGATGGGGAGGAACAGGCTCAGGCTCAACCCATCCAAGACCGAGTGGCTGTGGTTTCCGACGTCCTGATATAGTCAGTTGACGCCATCGCTGACTATTGGGGGCGAATTGCTGGCCCCCATGGAGAGGGTTCGCAACTTGGGTGTCCTCCTGGATTCACGGCTGTCTTTAGAAGAGCACTTGATGGCCGTGACCGGGAGGATTTTTCATCAGGTTTGCCTGATTCACCAGTTGCATCCCTTTCTGGATCGGGACTCCCTACACACAGTCACTCATGCCCTCGTCACTTCCCGCCTGGACTACTGCAACGCTCTCTACATGGGGCTCCCCTTGAGGAGCACCCGGAGGCTCCAACTGGCACAGAGTGCGGCTGCACAGGTGGTTATGGGAGCAACATGGCGCTCCCGTGTGACACCTCTCCTGCGCGAGCTGCACTGGCTCCTGGTGGTCTTCTGGGTGCGCTTCAAGGTTCTGATTACCACCTTTAGAGCGCTCCATGGCTTAGGACCTGGTTATTTACAGGACCACCTACTACCACAAGCAGCCTCCCACTGGCCGGTACGCTCTCATAGAGAGGGGCTCCTCCGGGTGCCGTCAGCTAAACAATGTCGACTGGCGGCCCCCGGGGGAGGGCCTTCTCTGTGTGGGCACCCACTATCTGGAACGAGCTTCCCCCAGAGATACGGAGGATCCCAGATCTATGCACTTTCCGCCGTGCTCTTAAGATTCTTCTATTCCAGCAAGCCGGCCTGGCCTACTTTTCTCCCCTGTTTTAAAATTCTTTTACATCAAAATTTTAATTTGTTTTAAATTATTGGGATTTTTAATTGTCTTGGGCTAAATTATTTAATCTGGTTTTAATTATATCTTTTAACTTTTGTATTTATGTATTTTATTTTGTGCCTGTTCACCGCCCTGAGTCCTTCGGGAGTAGGGCGGTATATAAATCTAATAAAAGAAAGAAATGAAAGACGCGC